ACAACGCCACAGACCCCATACCAGAAGGGCGCTTTCGGTTGTCAGATATTCAACAGCCTTACACGTTCCATCCATGATTGTGAATTAGGAAAGCAAAACAAAAACCGCAGGCTGAATCTTAATGGATCGTAGGAAAAGCCTACTCTCGCACTTACAAGACCTGGTTGCGCCAAAGTCGTCTGCAATCTCTGTGCCGCCCCTGTGCCGAAAATTGCAATTGCATGTGCATTCGTCGATAGTAAAACGAAATTTGTGGCTCCCCCTTGAACTTTCACAGTCAGGAGTCACGTCCCATGCATGGTGAGCCATCCTAATGCTGCACATGGCTGGTGGGACTATCGTAGAAGGACGAACTCGATGTTAACTTCCATGGATATTCTTCTCGACATTCTGAAGCAAGATATCTCAGTGTTGGGGCTTGTTCGTGGAGTACACCGAGCTGCACGTTTCCGCTTAGTTACTTGGAGTCCTGCTGAGCTCTTCACATGACTAAAATGCATGATTGCTCAGCGCATAAAGATAAAGCCTGAATAGTATACACTGAGTTGAAATCTTAGAGTACCTGAACTACCTACGTAATGCGTGACTACTGAATATTCGTGAGCTTCTGCAGCAAAACTTCGAGATTATCCTGCCTTTAGGAAAGCTACCTAGGCAAATTGCTATCCGCGCGTCACATTGCAATCGCTAAAGTCTGATGAAAATTGTTATGCACTTGTCATGGCAGGTCGTCCTAGTTAGCAAAACCGACATCTGTATGCAAACCGTTTGGGGTTTGTTGGTTGTAGCGCAAGCTGACCTAATTCAGGTTCCAAATTCAAAAACCCTTGAATGTATACATTTAAAAATGTTTACTATGCACTGCTTTTAGAAGCAGCGCGCAAGGGCCACGCTCCCATCACAGGTCTCACAAATTTCACGTCGTGATGCAGTGAGAGCCCCCTAACAACAAAATCAACCTCCATCTTAAGTAGACAAATATATGCAATACCTTGCCAACTTTATGGTTGCAATCGAAGCCAAACCACAAACATACACACGAGCCTGCAACCTCAGCGAAGTCGGAAACAAAACATAAAAGCTTCGGGAAACTGAAAGCCTATAGAATATGAAGGCTCAAGCTACAATCCACGTGCCATCGTCCACATACAGTAAGCTCTAGACCTAAGTCGCCGCTCAGCGAGGCTCTTGCCGCAACAAACGCTGACCAACGAATCACGAAGATCTGACCGCGCTTCGCCAGCACGCCGCAGGGAGCTGTACTTCTCGGGCAAACGTGAAAAGTTCCGCACTTGAGTGCTTCTGCTTCGGAAATCCTTTCCTCTCAACATCGCATGGTTTCTATAAGACACCGTGGAGCTGCCCTCCCCCGCTTGATGCAACCGTGCACATATGACGTGCTGCTGAACGGCCTCGTTTCTTTGCCTCTTTCATCGTCTCTGCAGGACTGAATTATAGTCAACGAGAAGCCGCCCCAGGCATCGACAAGGGAAAGGGACAGCTCAGCACAAGGCTTCTTCAGCGTCCGCCCTGCTTGAACGCATCTACCTGCTAATCCGCTTCAAACACGCCCGATTCGTTGTTGTGGTGTTTCCTGTCTAGACCAGAAGGAATATAGAGCTAGACAACGTGGCTTCCTTGCAAAGAAGCGCAGGCGACAACTGCTGTGGC